TGCCCGGCTCCTCGCTTCTCGCGCCCACTATCTCGCTCCCTCGTTTCTCGCGCCCACGCTTCCACTAATCCCATTCGCCCGCTTGCGGCGCATGAGGTGGATATGCGGCTGTGGCAGTCGAGATGGAACATATCGTGCGCGCGTTAATTACGCTCGCCGACCGAAGCGCCATCACCATATCTCCAGGCAAAACGAACCGGCTCATCCCGATTCATGTGCTACTCGAGTAATGTGGCAGCCTTGAAGAGGCCGCTCATTATTGACAGTCGAGTTACCATTGCCGATGTGCGTGATTGGCGACCGTTGGGTTTCTGCCCAACTGAGGAGACCGGTCCCACCTGTCACCAGGCCTTAGGAAGTGGCGTCACGCCCGACCGCTTCCCTCGAGGAGGGCGATCGCCCTGGCATAACGCCGGGGGCTACTGTCGGTGACATGGGACCGGGAGTATCATGACTAGAGGCTTGGGCAGGAGCAATCACCCACGAGGCCTGACCCCCTCGGGGGGGTCGGGCCCTAGGGTGATGTGGCCGCCCCCCTCTTTGTCTCCCCGAGGGGTCGGACCGCTCCCGTTTCGGCCCCGAGGGCTGAGGCGCCCCGACCCCTTGTAGGTTTTGCGCCGCGTGTATGGGTTAGGTGAGCGCAGCGGGGCTCACCTAACCGCATTTATTGCGGTTTGGACGAGCGCGTCACGCCGTATGTAACGCAGTGCAGCGCGCTCGTTTATCCGGTCTGTGACCAGTCACAGACCGATCAAATCGTGGGTTAGGTGGCGACAGGCGGTCTGACACACGCCTCGCCCCATCCCGTCAGGATGAGAGCCTCCAAGCACTCGTCCCTAGCCGGAGCCGGCGTGTTACCTCCTGGAGATGGCACGTTGGTCCCGGTCAGATATATGCCAGGCTTCATCCTAACCATTACAAGCAAGATATTGTATGAAGAAGGGCGAACATGCAGATTGCTAAACTGACACGTGGTGGACAAGAATGACCGATTTGTGACCGGTCTGACACTGGTCATGTCGTCAGCAGACAGCCATGTTCCCACGTCGCGCCTGCTTCCGGCGGAAGTGGAGGTAGGTATGGGCCGTCCCATCAGAAGGTCATTCGGACGGCAACCATTACAAATCTCCGTCCATTTATGAAGAGAAGTCAAGTTTGAGTAAAGATAGGATAAGTCCCCACACAAAAGAGAGAGATGGTGCATGTGGTATCCCCTTGAGGTATAAAAGGAGGACCTTGCGCACTGAGAAAGGGGATCCAGAACGATCGAGGCTGGATTGGGAACCAGAGGAGAGGGTTTCTAGAGTAAAAGCTCTCTGACTCTCCGGCTCTTTGTAGCTTCTTCATACACAGATCCACCAGAACACAGGAGTAGGGTATTACGCTTCTCAGCGGCCCGATCCTGTATACATCGCCCGTGTCTTGTGCTTCTTCCATTCTCGCGAACCTTCCACAGACTAGGAGCTTAGAACCTCACCCAGGGTCCCCGGCCGAACCGGCAAAAGGGGGGCCTGCGCGGTCTCCCGGTGAGGAGCCTCACGCTCCGTCACACTTAATGTGAGGCAATGGAATTTATTAGGATTTAATTGGGCCTAGCCAATTAATCTAACAGAACATACATGAGAAGGAGCAAGATGACTGGAACTGGGGAAGGGTCAGCCGCGTCGGCCAAACCATCCCTGAGCCCCCTCATATTACACTTTATACTAAGTGATGGTTTGCGCATCCTTTCCCTGAAACTCCCTGAAATTTTGAGTTTAATCTGTTCTCACCATAGAAAATATCTGAAAAAAATTAAACTCAAGATTACAATGGAGTTGGATGCTTCAACTAGAGTATATGATTTTCCTGGAAATGCGTTGCATAATTTTTATTCCTCGCATGTTAGCTACTGCTTGTGAACACATATCTATAGGAACACATATCATCTAAGTAATTGATGAATGAGAGATAGCCTAATGAAAGGAACTTTACTCCTATTTGTTGAGTTCTAGGGAATTTTTATGAAATGAAAAAAATGGTATAACTTTGCATGCTCCTCATTAATGTCTTATTCCTACCCAAGCCATACGTCGATCATACTGCAAACCTTATGCATATGTTCCTTGTTATTATTTCGAGTGTAGTCAAATTGTTGAGACCCTTTTTAATTCTTTCATTCTTTTTATGCTTTCATGATCAAAATCACGTACACGCACCAAGTTTGTTCTTCCTCCACAGTGGAGGTTAGCAACGAATATACCTTCTACCCACATTATTTTGCTTACACTTGAGGATTATCAAAATATTCCATTCACCACCATATGATAAACTTACATGCCGGAAGTCAGCATACATTATCTGTCCACCAAATAAAAACTTCACATGTCTATGATTGTCCCTCCAACTATCCATGCCAAGTGAGATATGAGCTAAAAAATGATGTTCATAAAAATGCTTACAAGAGAAGGATAAAATATTCTCGCGCATAATGTAAAAAAGAGAGAAAAAATAATATAAAAATAACCATGTTCTCCATATAAAGTGCAAGGAAGAGGATCACACAGAAATGAATCATAACCCCATCTTCCACCTTTCCGCATACACATCCATTTCCCACACACGTGCGCACATTTGATCATGATTGTATTATATTAGTTATCTTCTTGGATCCAATTTTTGACTTTACAATATATTCTCATTATTGAGGGTTCATCGCCCTGCTTCAAAATTTTGAGTTGAAAGTTTTAAATTTTGAGTTGAAAGTTTAAATTTTTCAATTGAAAGTTTTCTACGTTTGAACGAAAGTTTTTCAATTTTAAGTTCTAATTTTAGTTTAATTTTTTTGAAAAATATTGAGTTTCAGATATATGCAAAACTACAAGCATGCACGCTTCTTAAAAAAAATTGGATGTCACACACGGACATACATGGTACGCTAGCACCGCGTCAAGGTTAAGCCCCCACGTGGACTCTCGTGAGCTGGATGTGTGTGACACAGCCCACAAAAACATACGCATATTAGGATTTCTGCCTAACTCATTCATGGATGAGGATGACCAACACTCATTCGTTGATCGAAGAACTATTGAAACAAATGATGGAAAATACTATGTGTACTAGCAAATTATTAAAAAAAATCTTACTAACTAAAGCTCTCGACCATTTAATTCAAGTAGTTGGAAGTTATGTAAAAGCTAGATTTAATCATAATACGCCACATCAGAATTAGTAAGAAGTGTGTGTGTATAACAATTTGTGTTATACATACCTGTTTTTTTTTCCAAAGAACAGAAGAAAAAGAAGCTTTGAACAAGTTCCACATACATGCAATCTGATACGAGGATATACTCCCTCCGTCCCTAAATATTTGACGCCATTGACTTTTTAAAATATGTTTGACCATTCGTTTTATTCAAAAACTTTTGTGAAATATGTAAAACTATATTTATACACAAACGTATATTTAACAATGAATCAAATGATAGGAAAATAATAATAATTACTTAAATTTTTTAATAAGACGAACGATCGAACATGTTTAAAAAAGTCAATAGCGTCAAATATTTAGGGATGGAGGGAGTATAAGACTTCAGCTTCAGACTTCTTCCTCAATGAATGTGTGCAAGCAACGAATCCGTGGTGGACAAGTGCCCTGAAAAATGTGTTAGTTGCCATAATCGAGGGTTGTTCGCTTTGATGCCTAAAGCCAAAATTTAAAAGGGTTAATTTTGGTAGCCTCAAAATTTGAAATATCATTTTTTTAATAAGATTGAGATATATGGGTTGTTTGGTTTAATACCTTTAATAAGTTTTTTGAGAGGAAGATCTTATAATTGCCAAACATTCATAGTTGAGGCAATCTTTGGTAATGTTTAGATTGTTGCTTTGCCACATTTCGGTAAGACAAAACTTAGTAGAGTTAATTTTAGAAATAAAATGAACAACCGTTCAGTATCGGAAGCATCAATGTTATTTATCATCACATAGTTTGGTAACAGCTATACAGTGGCATAATAAATGATATCTTAAGAAGGCCAAATGAACAACCCTGCCTACCAAGGATATAGTCCCAGTATTAGCATAGCCCATTATGGTACATACTGGTAGGCACGGTAACCGTGCAATGTTGGCCCATGAAAATTTTGGAAAAGAAATATGAAAAATTTATAGGGAACAAATTAAAAAACATGGGAAAACCGTTTGTGTCAGAAAAATAAAGAAAATAGGGAATATGAATATCGAATGGAAAAATAAAGAAAAATAGTGAAAATATAGGAAAATTTCATAAAATACATTTATCGAATGTTAAATAGCAATTCCATTAAACAAAAGCCCTTTGCATATTTTTACCCCGTCCAGCCTGCATGGATCTTAAAGTCCATCCGAAAATTCAACATAATTTCTCCTAAGTTTTATGTCGAATATTAATTTGCAATTCCATTAAGCAAATGCATGCATTCTCGTATGCGTGTATATGCATGCACAGACAACTGGCACTAGCTTGATAAACGACAATAACTTGTATAGCCGTGCTTGTAACTAAGCTGCGAATGGAACTTTCCAAAAAAAAAATAGAGATTTTTCTTAAATGCAGATTATTCACATCGCCAATATGTGCTCAGATTTTTTTCTTTTTTTTCATTCTATCTTTCCATTACGAAATTTCTTTCTTTGTGAAGATTAAGAAAGAACCCAAATGGCTTGAAATAAATTATAATTGTTCCGATGTAACCTTCTACATGGTATAAGCATAACCTTAATGAATTAACTAACTTCTTTGCGATCTTTGCGATCTAAGGTCAAAAATCTAGTTTAAAATGAAAAATTGCATAGCACGCATTCATCTTCCATATGACATCGAAAAGATATTCACCAGCTGGCTATTAAACAAGTAGCACTGCTAGAAGAGATGCCATGGCTATTTTTAGGCGGGAAAACTGAAACGGAAATGGATTAACGGACCCTCCACGCTTCGCGCGCAAAAGCTGCGTGCGTCCAAAATAGCGGCCTTCAAAAATTCCCAATCCTTTTTTTTTTTTTTTGATAGGAAAAAATTCCCAATCCTTCATCACTCCTCGCATGCATGCATGCATGCATGCCCTAATCCTACGCGACCAAGAAATTATTGGCAAATCGATCACCGTTGCCATCCACCATTGCCGTCCCCCTCTCCTCCTCCTCCTCGCCTTCCTCTTCCTCTCTTTGATCTAGCTTAGCTCCGCTTGCTTCACCAGTTCATCATCTTCTTCTTCTTCTTCTTTGTCTCCCTCGTTTGGTTTGATCTTTCTTGGTTGATCCATCCAATCCCACCGGCGAGCGCGGCGGTGAGCTCTAGGCGGCGCGGGAGGCCATGGGCGGCGGGGGAGGCGGCGGCGGCAACACGAGGGAGCTCGACCAGACGCCGACATGGGCCGTCGCCTCCGTGTGCGGCGTCATCGTGCTCATCTCCATCCTCCTCGAGAAGGGGCTCCACAAGATCGGGGAGTTCTTCTCGCACCGGAAGAAGAAGGCGATGGTGGAGGCGCTGGAGAAGGTGAAGACAGAGCTCATGGTGCTAGGGTTCATCTCGCTGCTGCTCGTGTTCGGCCAGAACTACATCATCAAGATCTGCATCACTGAGAAGGCCGCCGACACCATGCTCCCGTGCCGCCTCAAGGCCTCCACCATCCACGCCGAGACCGGCAAGGGTCACCACGGCGACGCCGGCGGCCATGGGGCCACCACCATGGAGGCCGGCGGCGAACACGGGGCCACCCCGGCCGGCGGCGAACACGGGGCCACCACCATGGAAGCCGGCGGCGAACACGGGGCCACGCCGGCCGGGGGCGAACACGGGGCCACCCCGGCCGGCGGCGAACACGGGGCCACCACCATGGAAGCCGGCGGCGAACACGGGGCCACGCCGGCCGGGGGCGAACACGGGGCCACCCCGGCCGGCGGCGAACACGGGGCCACCACCATGGAAGCCGGCGGCGAACACGGGGCCACGCCGGCCGGGGGCGAACACGGGGCCACCCCGGCCGGCGGCGAACACGGGGCCACCACCATGGAAGCCGGCGGCGAACACGGGGCCACGCCGGCCGGGGGCGAACACGGGACCACCCCGGCCGGCGGCGAACACGGGGCCACGCCGGCCGGCGGCGAACAAGGGGCCACGACGGCCGGCGGCGAACACGGGGCCACGCCGGCCGGCGGCGAACAAGGGGCCACGCCGGCCGGCGGCGAACACGAGGCCACGCCGGCCGAGCACTTCAGCCTCGTCGGCGTCGGCCCTCCCTTCACCGCCGCCTTCTCCCGCCCTCACCACCGTTTGCTCGCCGAGGCCAAGATGGCAACCAAATGCCCCGATGTCGGTCACAACCTCCTCCTCCTCCTCCTCCTTCTTCTTCTTCCTCCTCCTCCTCCTGCGAGACCGATTGCGAAAGGATGTTAATGTGACGTTTCAAATTTTGTCTTATTTAAAAAATTATATAATTTTATTTATTTTGTTGTGACTTATTCTATCATTAAAAACTATAATTTTAATTTATATTTTCACATATATGTATATATATATATACTATTTTTTAAATAAAACGAATGGTTAGACGTTATGCGAAGAGCCAACGACGTCACACGTAAAAAATGGATGTAGTGATTAACAAGCTCCATGGATGCTGTCAACTTGTGCAGGGGAAGGTGTCTCTGATCTCAATCAACGCGCTGCACCAGCTGCACATCTTCATCTTCTTCCTCGCCGTCTTCCACGTCACCTACAGCGCCATCACCATGGCGCTTGGCAGGGCCAAGGCAAAGCTCTCTTTTTTCTTCTTCTTCTTCTTCTTCTTCTTCTTCTTCTTCTTCTTCTTCTCTTCTTCTTCTTCTTCTTCTTCTTCTTCTTCTTTCATGGCGATCCCGGCTAATAGCTTCGAGCCGCGTTCATGGCGACGCTGCTGCAGATTCGTGGATGGAAAGAGTGGGAAAAAGAAGCCGCGGGCCAAGATTTCGAGTTCGCTAATGGTACATATATACATATATACGCCTTGATATGTTGCATTTTTTGTTATTTCTTCACCCTCTGAAGATTAACTAACATAATTAACGGATATATATTTTTTACAACTAGATGCAATGGCACCTATTATTTATTACATGAATAGTTGTAGAAAAAAATAAAAATGATTAGATTGATTGTGATGCTAGAAGTATATGGTAACATACATAGTCAAATATGATTTATCGTTCAAGAAAAAAAAATTGACACCGCAGAATGTAGATAAAATCTGTTATTTTTATTTCGTAAACTTTAGATAGAATTTGTAGCTTCATATCTATCTATCTATCTATCTATCTATCTATCTATCTTCTATCTATTATCTATCTATCTATCTATTATCTATCTATCTATCTTCTATCTATTATATACTAACTAATAAAAGTCCATTAAACTTCCTAAAAACACTCCTAAGCTGCCACATGTCTTCCTACAAACGCTCTTGATTCGACACGTGGCACTTTTAAATAAGGTGGACCCACCAATTTCTATTATTTAACAAAGGACCCACTATTTTCCTTCATTGCATTTACTTTAATAATAAAAGAAAAGGCCCATAGGGCCTGTACATGTACGTGTGAAGCAAACTGCACATACGTACGCCCATAACTGACAGGTGCATCTCCTCTTTTCTATTTTCATGCCCTATTAGATTGAAACATATTTTGTTGTAAAATTTTTTTTAACAACTGTAACATCTACATCATATATATGTAGCTATTTTTTTTATCCATGTATACTATTAGATCATTTATAACAAAATTTATAATGCAAGTCCCAAATTAACTGTATTTAACAAGTAAAAGAAATACATTGCTTTGGACCAGCTATTGGCCACTCAACATACATTTTAATGGAAAAACACATAGAGTTTAAAACCATGTGATTAACAACACGTAGTTTACACTAGACAATATAAAACACACAAAACTAATTAATAAGATTAAAATAAAAAGAAGTTAATTAGAAACTACATATTCCCCCGTCCCAAAATAGAAGAAATTTTTGTTGGATGCATGGACATGGATTTAGATTCGTAGTACTATGCTATCCCATTCAACCAAAATCACTTATATTTTCTTCCACTACAAATATGTCATTTTAGAAAAATACCACTACTATTCACGATATTACGAATGGCGTCAAGGATGGCGGTGGCGGCGGCACCTGAGACCTCCCATCGCGGATCCAATCGAGGACAGAGACGGCGGCGGCGGCTCATGAGCCCTCCCACGCGGATGGCGTCAAGGATAGCGGCGGCGGCGGTGGCTGCAGGTTCCGAGCCCTCCCGTCGCGGATGGGGTCGAGTATAGTGACGGCGGTAGGGGCTCCCGAGCCCTCCCACGTGGATAGCGTTGAGGACGGCTGCTCCCGAGCCTCCTGCCACAGACGGCAGCGGCGGCGCCGGCTCCCAAGCCTCCCGCCGCGGATAGGGCCAACGATAGCGGCGATGGCAGTGGCTCCCAAGGTCTTCACGGAGATGGTCAATGACAACGGCAGCGACGGTGGTGGTCAACGACAGTGGTGGAGAGAGAGGAAGGGGAAAGAGAAAAGAGGGGAGGGAGGTGAAGATGAAACTGACAGCTAGGTCCCACGTGCAATTGGGGCTAACGGAGATTTTTGACGGAAAACGTGATGGAGTGGCATGGTTCTAATTTTCTCAAATTCCAGTGGCACGTAGCCAATAACGTGAATAATAATGACATTTTTCTAAATTGGCATGTTTGTAGTGGCATGGATCCAATTAACCCTTAAAAAATATCACTTCATACTGCATGCACGCAACCGGCCCTCCTCACCTTCTCTTCCCTTTCCTTTAATTTTTTTTATAGTAGTTGAGATAATATTTGTTATTTTATCATAATAAATTCTAAACAACTATAAATTCAAAATTACACATACAATTTTTACATACATATAATGTAATAGTTGAGATAGGCTTAAAGTGGTGCTGACATATTTTAAATTATAATAAATAAATAAATGTTTTTTGGGTCGTATATTGACCCTTTTCATCGTATATGACAAACAAATGGCGACATATATTATTTTATCATATATCACTTTTACAAACATGCATAACTAAATTCACTCTACAATTGAAAACGAAGTTTAGACCATCATATTATTATCTGTTTTGAATATATTTCAACTTATAAAATAAAATTATATTTTAGGTCGCATTTTGATTCTTTTCATGTAATCCAAACAGACATGAAAATTATATAACAAATGACAATATAAAGTATATCATTATATATATGTTATCAGTTGACAAATATTTACGACTAAATAGGATTACAAAATCCAAAAGTGCTATAGACAAACGCCTAACTTCAACAAATGTCATTTACAATTTTATTTATAAATACTCTACACATACTGATTTTATTTATATAATTGCTCTCTTATTTCAATTTTAAATTCATTTTTCCAAGAACATAGTAAGCATATGAAAAAAGGAGGTAGCAGAAGTAAATATAAATTTGTCATAATTTGATAAAATTTTCCTCTTACCATATATCTTAATAGAAAGTTTCTTCCATTAAATATCCTAAATTCCATAAAGATATCTATAGTACACAAGAAAAGGATATTACGTAAAGTTTAGAAACTCCAAAAATAAGATATACTAAATATTAAAAACACATATAGTACAAATGATAGGTCCATGTGAATCAACTCCATTTCCACGACACGATATTTTCTCATAAACTCAAGATTTTACGAATTCAAATAGTTTTAGTGTAGAATTTATATGTTGATAGGGTAGTTAGAAGAAAATCATGACCAACATTCAAAGCAATCCTAAACAAATTATGGACAAAAACAGATTTAGAATATAATAAAAAAATATTACCAAAAAAAATCACCCACGTGTTAATATTATTCATAAAATTTCAAGCAACATTAAACAAGGTGTCAGCAACGTGCCCGCGCATGTGCGCGGGCTACCTTTCTAGTTTGTATATTAACTTATATTATCATAATATATCTTGTCAAACTTTTTCATATTTTTATTTAACTATTTATACCACATGCATACAGTAGGTGCGGAAAATACCAGAAAATACTACTTTCCGCATAATTAACTCTATGCATTGCATTGCAGATCCGACGAAGTTCAGATTTACTCACGAGACGTCGTTCGTCAGGCAGCACATGAACGTGCTGAACAAGACGCCGGCGTCGTTCTACATTGTAAGATCGATCTGTCAGCTCGGTTCACCATTTCTGACAAGAAAAACCAACTGCCACAAGAAGACGAGAAATTCAGTTCGTTTGACATGAATTTCCTCTCTGATGATCGTCAAATGCAGAGCAATTTCTTCAGGCAGTTCTTCAGATCAGTCAGGAGGGCCGACTACTGCGCGTTGCGTCACAGCTTCGTCAACGTGAGTACAACACAAGCTTGGATGATCTCTCAGCATCTGCGTGCAAAACATATTATATCCCAGATAATCTTGCTTTTGAGTGGTTAATAATGTTTTTGCAGGTTCATTTAGCTCCTGGCAGCAAGTTCGATTTCCAGAAGTACATCAAACGGTCTCTCGAGGACGATTTCAAGGTCATTGTCGGAATCAGGTGTGCTGCTAAATGCTAATCACATTCTCATCTTGCAATCTGTCAATTTTTTTCTTGGTACTGAACCATCACGAATTAAGTATATTCTTGTTGGTCTGAATGTTTATTGCAGCCCTCCCCTTTGGGCATCTGCTCTCATCTTCCTGCTCCTCAATGTCAGCGGTCAGTCCCTGATCTGCACATTTCTTGCTTTTTCTAAAAATATGCAGTGATCTTGCCTGATTTGTTCGAGTATATACTTGATGAATTACTGACCTCTGCATTCATATGTTCCAGGGTTGCATACCATGCTTTGGATCTCCATCATGCCAGTGGTGGTAAGTATACAATGTTCATACATCACCACAATCCTGAACTGAACTTAACTGAACTGAACTAAACTGAGCTGACTTAGCTGAATTTCCATCATGACATTGGTGGTAAGTAGTACAATGTTCATATATACATTTCAATCCTAAACTGAACTGAGCTGAAGTAAACAAAACTGCCCTGAACTGAACTGAATTGTGCTGAGCTGAACTGAAGAATGATGAATCAGTGATGAGTGAGTGATATATTGGGTGAAAATGGCAGACGATCCTGTCGGTGGGGACGAAGCTGCAGGGGATCATCTGCAGGATGGCGATCGACATCACGGAGCGGCACGCGGTGATCCAGGGGATACCGCTGGTGCAGGTCAGCGACTCCTACTTCTGGTTCAGCCGACCAACCTTCGTCCTCTTCCTCATCCATTTCACCCTCTTCCAGGTTGGTCTCAATCAATCATTTTTTCTCTCTCCATTGATCTCCATGAATTAATTGTCACCATCCACCATTGCAATTAGTGATAAACTATACCTGACCTTTGATTGATTCTTCTTCTTGTTTTGCGCAGAATGGCTTCCAGATCATCTACTTCCTCTGGATACTGGTGACCCAATCTTTGCTCACTGAATTTCTTCAGTTCTGCTTCATGAAAATCTTCAGTAGATTGATTGATCTTGTCTCACTGCTTCTGTGTTGTGTGTTTGTGTAGTACGAGTACGGCATGGACTCCTGCTTCAATGACTCCAAAGAGTTCGTCTTTGCTCGCCTCTGCCTCGGGTAATAATTAATTAACACCAAACTTTTCATTTCAGAACGATAAGTTTCGATCCAGAATTTGTAGATATTGTGATCATTGAATTTGGTTTTGATTTATCGTCTGAAAATTGATTATGATTTTGTGTGCCTGCAGAGTTGTGGTTCAGTTCTTGTGTAGCTATGTCACTCTCCCCCTCTATGCACTCGTCTCACAAGTATATTACTCCATCCCTTTTATATTATAAATTGTTTTAACTTTTTTTTCTTGATTAAACTTATTTTTAAATTTGATCAATTTTTTAAAAAAATTAGCAATATTTGTAACGTCAAATTAATTTTATTAAATCTAACATCGAATATATTTTAATAATATATTTATATATTTACAGTCTACTACGTTTTTTTGTATAAATTTTGTTAAAGGAGTTTAAAAAAAGTTAAAGCATATCGCAAATATGAAACAAAGCGAGTACTCCTATTATATTTAAGTGTTCTTCCTTTAAAAAAATATTATTGCCACGTGGTCATATCCCTGGACTGACACGTGTCCGTGCACGGTCAGATGGGGTCAACGATGAAGCAGTCAATCTTCGACGACCAGACGTCCAAGGCGCTCAAGAACTGGCGCGCCGGCGTCAAGAAGAAGCCGGCGGCGGCGTCCTCATCCAAGCACGGCGACGCCGGCGGCGACCACGCGGCGGCGAGCCCCCACTCCGGCAGCCCCAAGGGCGAGGCCGGCGGCGTCGCGCTCACGCAGAGGAAGGCCGGCGGCGGCGAGGCCGGCGGCGAGCAGCAAGCCGGCGGCGGGTCGGGGTCCAAGAAAGGGGAGGAAGGCGATTACGAGTTCGTCAAGCTCGAGCCGTGATCGATTCGATATCGATCCATTGCAAGCTAATAGCAAAGGATAATTAGCTAAGCTAATTAATCGATCAAGCATAGTAACTAATTAATTACTTATTACTAAGTGATTAATTAATTTACCATTGATTTTTTTTGTTGTACCAGTAGCTACAGGCCTACAGTGCAGCAGTACGTATATACGTATGTATGTACCGTATTTCATACATAGGGTACGTATCCTTGAAAATATATAGGGTACGTAGGACAAGCAGGGCGACAGGGATGAGGAACTGAATATGTTTCTGCAGTTTCCCCTCCTTTTTTAAGTGGTTAATTGTTGTATTTATTATGTTTGATCAATGTATTGTTATAACTTTGTACAATTAAGATATAATCGCAGTGTCACAGTTTTATGAACTAATTGCAGTATATGTCATGCAGCTGCCACGTGCACTGATGAATTCTTGCTCTCGGTTTTGCTTTTCAAGTCAGCTCTTGGGAACATATTTTGCCTGATCTAATTTTGCCATATATATAAATAAGCATGAAAAATCGTTATTTGCTTGTCCAAATGTATTTTTGGTAGCAAACAGTTTAGCTACTATTGGCGCGAATGTAAGAGTCACGCGAACCGGTGCCTAGTCACGCGCCACTCTCCGCGCAATGCGTCCTTTTTTTTTTTCATATGTACGTTTGTATATAAAGTATGTACATAAGGAAGCGCTAAAGCGCACCTGGGTGGGTAGGGGGTAAGGGTGGGTTGTGTTTTAGCTACGACACAACCCATCTGTAATGTGTATGTCTACTTGTATATATATTTTTAGCGACATAAAGACTAATAAAAATATATAATGCGATAGAAAAACCTCGAAATCAACTTAAAATATAAGCTTTATATTTCATAATTTAGATATGGTTGATAATTGAGCTAGCAAGCAAACGAGATAGCTGATTTCCAGATTCTGAAACTCAGCAGCCGTAAAATGTGAATAATAATAATAGTAAAAACACCCTCGTCTGGTTCGCATTCTCATCAATTGAAAACTCATCAGCTATTTCTTGGAATCACCTGGCTAGACTATACATTAGAAATTTCATTCATCACCTGCAATCAAAGGCCTTGGCCCGATTAGCACATCATTGGGCTTGTTTTTGGCCCAATGAACCACCATAACCCAAAAAAAAAATGTTTTTTCCACTTAAATGACTTCCATCTTTCGTGCTAAAATATGAACATCCTTTTTTCTGATGCATGTATGACGGGGACACACATGCTTGCTCGTTTTATTGTTTTTATTTTTTACAAGCTGGTTATTTTTCGAGTACGCAAAAGCTTTGCCATGAATACATTAGAAGCTGAGAATAACGATTAGGCCGCCCGCAGCTAGGAATGAAAAAGAACAAATACGGATGGAATGCTAATATCATATTTATTTTTGTATTTTTTTTCACATACAAAAATAAATATGAATAATTCATATACGAAAACAAATATGAATTATCTCAAATAAAAATAAGGATCAAATATAACCGGACACGAATACAAACATAAATATTTTTAGAACACAAAAAACACCTAAACTTCTAATTAAAATAAATATCATCACCCATAATTATCTCGTTTTATATAGTCACTAGCAGTGTGTACCAAGGTTTCTCAAACCGTTTTTGGTGGGGTTACCGTTACTCTATGGATTGGCGGTTATCGTGGTAAACATGTGGTTATTACTATGAAAACCGTAAGATATACTGTGGTTTCAAAAACTAAGGTACTGACATGATTATCGTGATAACCGTACGGTTTTGTAAATCCTGGTGTGTAGACGCAAACAACAGTGAACTAGTGAAGTAAAAATAGGATCCATGATCTTGAAAATGAACAAGCTGCATATATAGGCAGGCATAACATGGAGGAAGGCGTAAGGAGGTCTCCAATTAAGCTGTGGCCGGCGCGCCTGCTTCGACCCTGGCTTCCTGCAGGATGAGGTTGACCAGTGCTTGCACCGAGGTGAATGTACCATTGAAAACGTGGGCATCTCTTTCCTTCCTGAGATTCCAAGCGAAGGAATTACCAGGAGTCAAGCCCCTCCTCTAGTTGATTTGGGCAAGTTCTTCCAGTTCTCCTGTCTGAGAAGTCAACCGGACTTCTAAGCGTTTATAGGCTGTGTTTAGATCCAAAATTTGGATCCAAACTTCAGTCATTTTCCATCACATCAACCTGTCATACACACACAACTTTTCAGTCACATCATCTCCAATTTCAACCAAAATCCAAACTTTGGATCCAACCAAACGCAGCCGTAGGCTATGTTTTTTGTTTGCTTTTCCAACTCGCCATCTTTTTTTCGTGCGCACGCTTCCTAAACGGCTAACGGTACAATTTTTTTATAAAATTTTTTTATAAAAAAAATACTTTAAAAATATTATTAATCTATTTTTTAGAAAAATAACTAACACTCAATTAATCATGTGTTAATGGGTCGCTCCATTTTATGTGCTAGAGCTGGGGAACGAACGTAGCCTCAAGATTCTGCAAAACAGCTGGCATAGGTACCAGCTGATAAGTATATAGAGAAGCTGGAAAACTCAATTTTTAGCTTATGTTTCAGCGATAATTTCTCATAATCTAGATAAAAATCTAGATTGTTTGGAGGTGCCGGATATTCTATGAATAACTGTAGCCTCCAAAAAAGAGTCCTAAGAGCACCCGCAATGGTAAAGTAAGGTGCTATCTATAAAACATGTACATCTCAGCAATAGACTAGATTAATAGTAAACCACCTCAATAGTATGTCTACATGGGTATCTATAGCTCTCTCATGCATTGCCTCGTTTTTCTCTATAGACTATCTCTAAGTTAGTAGATAGTTTTGCTCTCTCTCTTCATTTAATATCTTCCATGTAGGAAAATATGTTGACATAGATCTTTTGTAGAGAGCCTATAGATAACCATTGTGGGTGCCCTAATAGGTACCACCTATGTAATGACACCCTCGGTCTTTTCCGAGGTCCAATATATTGAATTTCGAGTTTAACTTTTTGAAGGAGTGGTCTTATTAAAAGCGTTGGAGCACAATTATATTCTTAGAGTTCAAATCCTTCTACCCAAATTAATATATGTATTTGTAACTACGTTTTGATAGGATTTTATTAGGTTTATTTATAACTTCTTTTTATCTGTTTACCACTCCTCTAATCAATAATGTTTAAAGATAGGAGTACTAATCTAACACACCTAAGTCAAATATTTTTTTCCTAGAAGATTATATATTGACAGTATACTCACTGGTACGGTGTGCATTCAAGAACCAACATGGTGCATGAGCTCATCTTTCAAACTGTAATAATAGTAAATAACGAAAATAATGCAGGATGGCGTCATTGGCTGACGACACCGGTGCATACTCAAAGACGACCATTAAAAAACCAAAGTACCAAATAGCTGAAATTTTCACGTCACCTGCAGCTAGCTAGCTAGCTTAGGGTGTGTTTAGTTGGGGAAAAGAAATTTTTTGGGTGTCACATTGAACATTTAACCGGATATTGGAAGGGGTTTTCGGATACGAATGAAAAAATTAATTTCATAACTCGCCTGGAAACTGCGAGACGAATCTTTTGAGACTAATTGAGCCGTCATTAGCACATGTGGGTTACTGTAGCACTTATGGCTAATCACGGACTAATTAGGCTTAAAAGATTCGTCTCGCGATTTCCCTATAACTGTGCAATTAGTTTTTCTTTTTATCTATATTTAATGCTTCATGCATTTTTTATCTATATTTAATGCTTTATACATGTATCCAAAGATTTGATGTGATGTTTTTGGAAAAAAATTTAGAGAACTAATCGGGCCCTTAGCTGGCACGCACGGCCGAATCATTCTGTGTAACAGTCGGAGGGATAGAGACGGCCGGCCGGCGACGACCGCGACGGAGACGGAGACGACCGGTGCCTGTCGTCGAGTGGCTCGCGTCCCTTTCCGGCGAGGTCTGCCGGAGACGACACGGCACACGACGACGATCGATGCCACGGCGACATGACGATGCCTATCCAGGCCTGATTGACGTCGCCGTTTGATTACGGCGCTGTCTTGATTCCAACATTTTTTCCTTCAAACTTTTAACTTTTCCGTCATATCGAACTTTTCTACGCATTTAAACTTCAAACTTTTTCATCACATAGTTCCAATTTCTTTAAATTTTTAATTTTAATGTGGAACTCTATATTGATTTGATGGGTAGCTGATCGATAGCCAGCTGCCTGCTACTAGCTTTTGGTGAAGTGTCAACCCTTTCTGACAAGACAAATTTCCGAGCTTTGCTCTCGGCCTACTTTTCCTTTTATGTTTCCACGGTTTTAGTAGAATTTAATCTCTTGTTTTCAAAATTTAAGAAATTTTAGGATTTAGTCCGAACTAAAATCAGAGACACTTTCTACTACTATAAATCTTAGATAGGGAGTCTGTTTAAATTCATAATATTACGATGTGTCACATCTAACTAAATTTTTTTATATTTTGGAATGGGGGAATTACAATATAAGGATCTATGCAGTGATTCCCGTGGTTTCAATTATTTCAATAATTATAAAGCCAATCGCATGCTTGCGAAGGGAATTTAAGTAATTTAAAATTCAAATATTGACAACTGACATGATTAAAAAGGGAATATTTTATTCTAACCTTGGTATTTGTTAAACAAACTAAAAATCATGATATTTTGGAACGGAGACAAAAAGTATAACATATATCCCTTTTCAAGTTTACTAACCTTTTGGTCAAAACACGGTAGAACAACGTTGTCATGTACTCATGTAGGTTAAAAACCCTAGCGTGTGATAAAGATTGCATCACATTACTTATGGAGGTGCTATAAGCAATAGAACTATAAGTAACAAACTACCATTGTCGGTAATATGGGACCGGGAGTATCATGACCAGAGGCTTGAGGCAGACGCAATCGCCCACGTGGCCTGGCACCTTCGGGGGCGTCGGGCCCGAGGGTGAGGTGTCCGCCCTCCTCCTGATTTCCCCCGAGGGGGGGTCGGGTTGTGCTTGCCCCGGCCCCGAGGGCCGAGGCACCCCGACCCCTTAAAGAAATCTGCGCCACATATATGGGGCAAGTGAGCACAGCTGTGCTCACCTAGCAGCATTTATTGCAGTCTGGTCAAGCGCGTCACGCTGCATGCAGCGCAGTACGGCGCGTTCTTTTATCCGGTCTGTGATCAGTCACAGACCGGTCAGATCACGGGTTAGGTGGCGACTGGCGGTCTGACGCACGCCTTGCCCCATCCCGTCAAGACGAAAGCCTCTAGGCGCTCGTCTCAAGCCGGAGTTAAGCGTGTTATCTCTTAGAGATGACACGTTAGCCCCAGTCGATATATGCCAGGCTTCATCCTAACCATTACAGGCAAGATGTTGTG